GTGACGAAGAGCTTTCCTTGGTTGCGCATTGCCTGACATCACAAGCTTTGCACGACAGAATTTGTGTGACTCTCTTTGCTGCCTAATGTTTCCAGCGACGATATTGCCCTTTGCGAGACACTTTCCCTTTCGTCGCCCAAGCAGTTATTCTTAGTAGTGTTTGAGCATACTAGTGTGTGTACATCCATATGACCAATTGGTTCGGATGAGAAGCTATCTTTGTTGTGTGTACATCCATATGACCAATTGGTTCGGATGAGAAGCTATCTTTGTTGGTCCCCAATTCTAAGGCTAAGTAATAAAGTTTCAAATGTAGTTTGTTTAATTAATTTTTTTTTTCAAGAGTCGCCATTGGAATTTCTGGCTCTTATCTTAATATTCACTCATCAGGTGTATGTTATTTATTGGAATATAGTAAACTTTTCATAATAAATGTGCTACGAATAGCATCATTGTTTTCTTACAAAAAATAATAAATAAAATAAAATAAAAATTGTAGCTATTGTGCTTTAAAAATAATCAACTGTAAAATAAACAAATGAGTTTTTAATAAATTGTATTTTAAAAGTGTTTGGAGTATGAAAAGTTGTAGGGAAATGTTTGGTAAATCTTAATGTAAAAGTGATATAATTGTATATAATAAAAAAAAATATCCATAGTAGTAAGTGTGGTGACGACAACAACGGTGTCTTGGGCAGTGGTGGTAGCACCAATGGTGAGGGTCCATGGGTAGTACCAATAGTGGGATGATGTGGTGGCATAATAAATAATGTCATTTAAAAAAAATTAAAATATAAAAACTCATGAAAATATTACATGAATTGAAAATATTCATTAAAGGTTCAACTCAGCTTTTTACTAAGGATTTTCACTAAAATAATTTACAATAGACAAACTCATAGACTACTTTGTCGATTTTTATTGTCAAGAACTAAAGTTAAAAGTTAAGATAATCTCAGGAATCATTTTGGATAAAAAGTCCTGTTTTTTCCAAAATTATTTAGGTCTAATGGGAGGTGAACACGCAGTACACGCAAACACGATACGTCCCGAAGTCATCAAACAAGAAAATCAAGCCACTGCTCGCAACTTGCAGCAGCACTGTGATACATATATATGCGCCTTCCAGGCAACAGGCATGGGCGTTCGAGTATCAATCATACAAAAGATCTCCATAAAGTCACAAGAACCTGATGGACGACAAAAAAGAATTAGCATGCAGAAAGAGAGATAGTCTTGTCACTAATTCATCGGGCAACAAAAAAGGCAATAAAACTGTATTTTAATTGCTCTAAAGAGCATCTCTCCTAGTGATATGGCTATTAGCGACTGGCTAATATGACGTTAAGCGGAGGGAAGATAGCTCGAGAATATTGGCTACTTGAAATTTGGACCACCATCACTGATTCACTGTATATGACCACCGTCAGGATCATATCATTTCATTGTTACGAAATTCTACTTTTGGCTTTTATTATATAGCATATAGGGTCATCCTTTTCCTACCAAACTACCAGCTACCTAGGAAGTTAGGAATTTAGTTCGAAATATCGCTCTTGGTTTTGGGTTTTGTGGACTATATTTACGCGTATCACGCGGGATTGGAAGGACCAAAGGACGCTCGCTGGGATTTGAGAAACCCTAGTTTGAACTGGTCTTTGTTCTTATCTAATAATATGTACCACTATACTACTATATATAATTATGAATGATGATAAATTGTTATGAATGTAGTAAGATCTTTTCTTTGTTTGGATAATTTAAGATCGATAACAGCGGGTAATAATAAAACGGCTGAGCAATGCAACGTCCTTGTATTGTATTGTATGGATCATATATATATATATATATATAGGAGAGGGGGAAGTATTATTATTAAGGTTTTTTTTATCTACACTCCACGTATTATTGAAACATCCACGTATTATTGAATACATCCACATATTTATGAATATACTTTACATCTACTTTTTAATTACAACTTATCTAAATACATCCCACACCCTTTCTTATATTGTCCTTACACCCATCACTCTTTACATACACCGTACATTCTCTACATACACACCACATCAACCTTGCCTAATTCGTATTTGTCCGTCTATTTCAAAACAAAAAAATAAATAAAGCTTAAAGAAAAATCCATAATATGGAGAACTACGAGTCGAAGAACTCCAGTCAATGAACATCATTCCTCACATATAAAACTAGAAGAGCTCGAAAGGGAATGAAGTATAGAAATTTTGACTTTACCGACAAAATTAGTTTGTCAGTAAAGAGTATTTCCTGACGAAAAAATTCATCAACCATTTGACCTTTCTAGATGATTTTTTTATATTTCGTCAACTCAATTTTAAGGCGACAAATCTCAGCCATCAAACTGTACCGTCATCATGATAACTTTCAACAAAATACTTTGTCGGCAAAGGTATTTGTCAGTAGAGGGTGTTTCAAGCCTACAAAATGCATCTTTTTGCCAACAAGAGATGTTGCCGGCAAAGATATTTCATCGAGACGGTTGTCCTCTACCGACAATATTAACTTCGTCGGCTAAGACTTTTAATTTATAGAAAATAATAATAAATTGAAAAATACAAAATTGTTTCAAAAATAATGCTTCATTGATAGGTAATGAAAAAAATGTATAAGTACAATGGTTATACAAAAGTATTCTATTATACAATACAATTATCCTATCCTACTCTCATTCCTCAACATCGACTAAGCGATATCCTGCAAAAGTTATACAAGTGGTAATTATTATACATGACAACATAAGAAAAAGCATCCTTAGCATGAGGAAAATGCATTCAATAGATTTGACACAAGAAGCTGTTGAAAATTAGAAAATGGAGAAGGACTGCAATAAAACCATAATATTACAATAAACAATGACAGCTGAACCAATTTGTCAACAATAAACCGTGAAAGTTTGCAGCAATAAAGTACAAATTAAAAGTGTATGATTAGATTTTGACTTTTTTTTCCAACTGTTGATGCCCAATATTAAAAAGGAAAATTTAAATGATTGAATATAGAAATGTTCTAGACACTGAGCATGAATGAATTATATCAAAAAGCCATTAGGCCGAAACGAATAAAATTAGTATACAAACTAGACCGTACTCGTCCCGAAAGAAAATGCTAAATGTAAAGAGAAGAAAAGGACCCACACAAAAAAACTCAGAAAGAAATACAATTTAAACAACGATGAAGATATTGGAGGGGGACTAGAGTCTCTGTGCCCACTGATCTCTGCATCCTCTTACTTCCCCTGCCTTCTTCTTCATCTTCCTCATCTCCCTCCACATTTACCATCCACTCTTCCTTTCCTTCTCATAGAAGCAGCAATTATCTTGTAGTTGTTCAAAGGATATTGCACCCCATGAATAACTGTTGAACCTATCTATGATCTCTACAAGATGGAAGTAGCCTAGGTTCACAACCACATTACTCTTTGCCCTTTTCAAGACAGTCTCGGCAAAGTATACCAACCCCATTTGCAATGCATCATCCTCATTTCCGCATTCTTTAAATGCCCTTTCAAGCTCGACACAAGTCACCGAAATCTTTTTGCTCATTTTCTTGAAGACGGTCTTCGCTTTACTTTTTCCCTTCCTACACTTACCCTTGCTACTCTCTCCAACGAAACCAAATCTCTCAGGAACATGCTAAATCAAAAGCCTAATGTCGAAAGGCTCAACCTCTAGATCATAGGATTCATTACAACGAAACTCATAATGAGGTGAAAATCCTTCTTCGTAAACCAGGTCATTTCGCAGCCTATCAAATACGTGAGTCCCTCTAGGTCTTTCACCCCTTGATTAGCCACTCTACGAAGCAACAATTCATGCACCAATTAGCCACTAAAGGCCAATCTATCGACACACTCTAAGTGTCCAAAGCATGATGCCCTAAAGGCAACAAGTTATGCGTCATTAAACTTTTGACACATGACTTCTAGCACATGACTTGGTTGAGAAAGGTTGTTAACCTTCCCCTATACGGTTCTTCCTCTTTTGTTGGTACTTGAAACCCCCCTAAGTTGCCATCTCCTATACACGACAATACAAGTGTTCAACATAACCAAATTCTACAATATATACTCTAAACACAGCCAAGTTCAACAATGTATACTCTTAACACAACCTGTCAACAAGTTTGCATAACAATACATCTACCATAAACAAAGCATCAGGACTTAAGCAATATCAAGTTAATTCAGAAAATTAACAAAGATTTCATGAACACACATCATTCTCAACTCAACAATATAAGTTCAACAAAACAAAAGTGAACGACCTAGCCCTTGTACACAACCAGCCAACAACATTTCATAAGCCCGCATCCGACCTAAAAATTCCACAAATATCCACCAATTTCAACTAATTTCATCAATGAACATGCATAATTAACCTTAAACACTAAATTAATTAATCAAATTTACAGAAACAACAAAATTTATATCTAAGGTTCCAAATTTCCAAACTCACCAAATTTTAAATTTACTTTGGGATATGAAGTATGAGGAGTACTGAGGAAGCAATGACTCTGAACCCAACTTCAATCAATCAAGCACCATGTCCTTTATGTGAAACCGACTGGACAACCTCAAATAAACTTGCCTGATTTTTCTAAACTTCTGTGTGGAACTGCAATGAGGTTAGAGACGACAAGCACAACACAATTACGACATGGTTTTGAATGGCAAGGAAATTTTCGAACGGGAACGAAGTTTTTGACGAGAAAGAATTTGAAATGGCTTGCGGGAGATGGGAGTTTTGCGTTAAAGTGAACAGTACCGGGTGCTTTTTGTTAAAATTCCCTTTTTAATTAATGATGGGTTGTTTTCAGCCGTTTAGATTTGAATCCAATGGATCTAATTCAGTCCACACCTAAAATCCACAACGTATGGTCCACACCTAAGGTCCGTAAAGTGTAGTCCACGTCGTAGAAAACGCGATCAAACCTATTTTCTTTTTAAAAATGAGAGCAGTGAAACAGCCCAGAAACGCTACCAAAAAATAAAAAGTTCTTTAGCCCAATGGGTCATTACAAACAGGCTGGAGTATCCAACTGCGCAGCAAAACGACACCCCATCAATATCTATCGAGCGCGCCAATAATTCAAATATCTGCGAAAGATCAAAGGGGGCACCTACTTCCTCAAATTCCAAAAAAATGGAAGACGACTGCAAATCCTCCTTGAATTTCTTCTCCGATCAACAGCTCTGCTACGCCGACATCCTCGCTCCGCCGGAGGCCATTGCCCGAATCCAAGTCGCCGTCCTCAACTTCCTCCGAATCCTGACCTCTCCGGCTCCCGCAATCTCCGACCTTCCTCTCGTAATCACCTATCTCAACTCCTCATTTCAATTTTCCGCAGCTTCAATTCACATTTTCTCCCCTACCAAACAGAAAATAACTCAAAAATTGAAAATCCACAGGTCACTAGAAAATCAAGCAACCGCCGCTTCAATCAAGGCCTGCTCACTCAGACTTCGTGGATTTTCCTGACAAACGCTCTCTGCACCAGGTCTCTCTCACGGCCGAACGCCGCCAGAGCTTTTATCAGAGGTTAATTAATTGATTGATTTACTAATTAATTATATTTATTTGTGTATATTTAAGCATTTCTGTGTTTGGATTTGTAATGTAGAATTTTCTGTGACAGTGTGGAAGTTGATGGCGATGTGCTCTCGGATTTTGGGGCTGGATAAGAAGGTCACGCAGAGGGAGCTCTTCTACAAGTTGCTCTGCGATTCACCGGATTATTTCTCGTCTCAGTCGCAGGTGAATCGGACTATCCAAGGTGATCACCTTTGCCAGTATCGACTTCAATTTTGTTTCAGTCTTTCAGAACTTTCCTCAAACACATAGAACGCCGAAAATTGAATTTATACGAGTGCAGATGTGGTGGCATTGCTGCGCTGCAGCCGTTACAGTCTCGGGATCATGGCATCTAGCCGAGGGCTTGTTGCCGGTCGCTTGCAGTTGCAGGTGAATCAACATTGCAATCTGTAAATGTTTACATGTCTGTGGAGAAATCAACTCTATTAACTCTTAATTAATTAGTAGATTAATCATGCAACAGGAGCCAAACCAAGATGTTGTGGACTGTGCTGCCTGTGGATTTTCGGGGCATAATATCTCTGGGGACTTGAATTCCTTGGAGAAGTTGATGATGAAAACGGATGCGAGGTACATCATTGTGGTGGAGAAGGTACTTTTCTATTGACTTTCTCCGATTTCGACTAAGATTGTGATTGTTCTTCCCCAGCTTCTAAATTTTGCAATAGTTTTTCGCTTGCTGGGATATTTTTAGCATGCAATTTTCCAGCGGTTGGTCGAGGACCGCGTGTTCAACCAAATTCCCAGCATTCTGATCACTGCCAGAGGGTACCCGGATATAGCAACAAGGTAAATTTCCACTTCCTGAAAGCAAATACTCAGAACTCAAGGCTTATAGCTTAAGCAGTTAAAAGATTTTCCCAAAGTGCTCGTCGTTCAAGTACTTCGGCTGCAATTAAATTCGACTCCCTCTCCCCAATATCGCTTTCCTTTTTGGTTGAAATCCCAATATCGCTTTTATGAACTAAGTAGGCCGTTGACACTGTTGAATGAAGGATTCTTCTTCACCGGATGAGCAGAGCATTTCCCGACTTGCCAATGTTAGCACTGGTTGACTGGTATGGATGCCCTTTTCTCCGTTTCACTCTCCAGTTTTTAACATTTCGAGTTCTCAGCTTTCAAGTGCTGGGTATTTACTGAAGGAACCCAGCTGGGCTAGCTATTTTATGCACATTCAAGTTTGGAAGCATAGGGATGGGCCTGGAGGCTTACAGATATGGTAATCTGGTTCCTGTTTTCCTGCTGCTGAATAACAATTTGTTCTTACGTAGAAAGAAACTTACAAGGTCGATCGGTTTATGGCGTGTTTTAGCTTGCAACGTGAAGTGGTTGGGGCTGCGAGGCGAAGACCTAGAGCTCGTACCCGAACAAGCTTTAGTTCCATTGAAACCAAAGGACCTCCAGATTGCCAAGAGCTTGATCTCATCGGAGATCTTGCAGGTTAACCGTTTAACCTGCATCTCATAGAACTGTATTTTTACGTTACTGAATGATTCAAGTTTTTCGGTACTTCGCTGAAATAGGTTCCGAAAATATCTGGATTGCAGGAGAATTACAGGGCAGAGCTGACATGGATGGTTGAGAGTGGTCAGAGGGCAGAAATTGAAGCTCTGTATTCTCAAGGTTACGATTACCTGGGGAAGTTCATCGCAAGAAAAATTGTGCAAGCCAACTACATCTGAACAGAAGAAAACCCAGAATCATCACTGTTACTCGAGCTTCTAGCCATGTAAAGTGTAGGCTTTGGTTGCATTGTCGCCTTGAGATGGCGACAAAAGAACGAGAATGACGAAACCAAAGCGCTAATAGAAAACTGAATTGCATCTTCTAATTTCAATCAACAATCATAACAATGTGAAAACAACTCCAGAAATAATGTATAAAATAGTCTTATCCTCTCACCGAAATGGAATCAACAGAACTACAAATGACACTTTGATTTTCTTTCAACTGATTACTACAACAGTACTAAGGGCGATCGTTATATGATATTGGTTATAAACTCGACTTATCTGCAATGTGCAGATCACGATGCTTAAGTCTCAAAATCGGCTAAGGAAAAGAATGACCCCTCAATATTTCTAACAAAATCTTCAGCCCCTCCTCAATGGGAGACTCACATTTTTCCCTTCCACCACAAAAGTTTTGCTGCCTTCCAGCTGCACACACAACCCACAAGTTCATGGCTTGCGTAGACAAGACGATACGAAAAATAAACTGGAAAAAAGAATGACTCCAAATTCTGAAAGAGCATGTGTCCTTGCCATTTACTGGTGACTAAGCACCCCCTCAATAAAAATGAGATAAACCTAACTTTACGAAGGTCTCAGTGCTCTAATAAAAGCATTATATGCCTCGTTTGCTGATTTTTATTGGATTGGACTAGCCACTGTATTTAATGTATGTTGAAGCAAAAAATGGATGTCAACTTTAAAATCTTGTCCGTGTTTACTTCCATCCCTAATGTGTTTACTTCCATCCCTAATCCATCTTCTACTTTCAATTTGGACAAGATTTGAAAGACGACATCCATTTCTTGCTTCAAGATGCATTGACTCTAGTGAATTACCCGATCCAATTCAATCCAATACTAACCACCAAATGAGGCCATTCTTAGCTCGAACAATTAAAATAGAGGCCATATTGTGAGAATTCGGTAATGCAACATGGTTCAGATTAAGACAATTTATTTTGCACTAGGATGAGAGTACTGCTTAAAAAATTTTGGGTGACGTACCTTTTGTCTCAAGTAAGCAAGAGCATCTCTCTTTGAAGAAAAGTTGGAGAAAACAGAAGATGAATGTTCATCGATCAAAGCTTTCAACGTTTTCAGCTTCAATGACTCTCCAGATGCCTGGACAAGGAATAGAATTAGTGCCGGAGAAATTCTGAGAATCACAAATGCAATTTTGGAGGACTCACCTCACGAAGGAGCTGTTTACAAAGCTTTTTCAGCTTCAGTTTTGGTTCGTTGCTACTTTCCATTTTCAAAGATTCATCTCCTTTTTGTTTCACAGGAGAACCAAGATCAGCAGAATCTTCATCATCACTATCATTAAATGAAGTTTTTTTTCCCTCAAAGTAGCAACCAGCTACTTTCTTTTTCCGGTCCTTGATGCCTAGTCCTTGCTTTCCAGTTGTGGATTTATCCTGGAAACATAAGACGCGCACACGGTGATCGTCTAACCAATAATGCAACTCTTTTCAGTAATGCACATTAATGAAGGATCCAACCAGGAAAGTACCTACCTGAACAAGATTGTAAAGATTTACTTGATCATCCTCGTGAAACATTTTTCTCTCATTACCATTTTGAGATATTTCTAATTTTCTTCTTTTCATCTCTGCTCCAAGCAAACCTCCGCGAATAAACCCATATTTATGGCCCCACCAATCTAGAGGAATTTCTTTGCATACTTCTCCTGTAACAATGTGATTAGATCATTACACAAAACAATGGTTCAAGCAAGCAACCAAAGAGCACGAGCATGAAAAAAAAGAGTAATTTCATAAAAACTTCTTACAAAAATTTACTTGCTTTTGACACAGACGAATCTACTTTAAAAAGGAGAACCACATAAAATAAACTAATGATTGAACAGTAGAACGTGATAGTAAATTGTGGCCTTTTCATATGTAAGAAATTTATATCATCACACTTTGGCGAAAAACACTTCAAACTCAAAACTTTAGAGGAAAACCCAACTTACTTTGTAACACCAAAAGGAATTTCACAACTCAGAATAAATTTGCAGCATGAAAAGTAGATAGATGAGGGTTTTTCTACAATTAAATTGATCTCTTGAAGTGTTTTTTCTATAAAACTTGTAGCTTCTGAGGTGTTCTATCAAATTTACCATTAAATTGTAGGCGCTCAACAAAATATTTATTATGGGGTCACCTTGACGAGCATTCTCAATTCTCAACAAAGGTCAATAGAGTAAGTCTGCCTAACGTAAGAGTTTCGGTGGTGTTGTTTCATCAATAATCCTAAACTTTTCTTTTGTTTGATTGGGCCTCGGGTGTCTCCCTTCCTATTGGGACCCCTTAAACTTTTCATGAGTCAAGACTTGAACACATTAGGGAGCATAAATATGAAGACCTAAGAAGGAATGAAACAAAATTCAGACAGAAATCGTCGACAACCAAGGAAAGTTAACTAAATGTGATGCGAAAAACAAAGAATCAAGTATCAGGTCCATTGATCTTAGGAGTCAACTCATGATTTGAAATACTAAATGGTTAATTTCCTATTATGTACATCTAGTCCAGGTTATTACCTTCAGGGGATATAACTTGAATTTCAGATGCCTTGTCTGACCCTACTTCTCCATCCAGATCGAAATTAATCCCTGGAGACGCCGCCCTTCTGACCTGCAGTATGCATGTAAAATCACAGTAAGTAATGGCAAAACGCATGCCAATTATGAACTCGAAACCGTGCATCCAAATTTCATAAACCACATACGGGTACATGTATACTCATTTTGCAAGATAATAATTTTCAAGGGTTAAATCTTACAAGGATTCCTTCAATATCCTTAGAAGAATATGCATTGACAAGCTTTCCTCGTTCTCTTTTCTTATATCTGATATCCGTAGACAACAGGTAGAAAAGGTTTAGCATCAATAAAACATCTAATGAAAAATCAATAATTTAAAAGATGTAAAAACCAACCTTCCCTGTGGGCGAGTAGCCTTGGCAACAGGTTCCTTAACATCACTAGGCAATTCAGTATCACTTTCCTCTTGAGTGGCGTTCGGCTCAGCAACTATAAGATAAACAAACACAATACTCCTCAAACTACTACATCATAATTCCTCACATTCCTCGTATACAACAACTAAGTTAATCTAGGCATATACATACCTTCATCGCTGGGTTGCGCTGCTTGCTGCCAATCAAAAGCAAAACAAACAAATAAATACAATACACCACACGTCGGGAAGGCTTTAAGTAAGCTTGAAATTGATTGAATTAATAGGATAAAAAAAAATGTAAAAAGCTTACAACTTTCAATCTTTTGAGGATACTATCGAATTGGGTCGTATCGAATGCCCATTGGTTAGGCTTCTCCACACCAACACCTATTCAACACAATCATAAAACCAAAGACCTATAATTTTTCTGTTTCCATTCACCAAACCCCAAATAATAAAAAAAATGGCATTTCCAAGTTGATTTTTACTTCAAACCAAACAACTAAACAATAAAAAAAACTTGATAAAAATTGAAATGCAAATATATATATATATATATATAAAAGAAGGAGAAATCCAAACCAGTAGTGTCCTGCTTGTTCTTGACTCTGACATAACCTTTGATCCCCTGCTTGTCTTTCCCAAGACCTTCTCCTTCTTCCCATCCCTATATTTACCAAAAAAAAAAAAACCATTAAATAATTAACTTAATTAAAAAAGGAGCAATTAAAATGGCAAAAAATTGAAAAGCATGTGGGATTATACAGAAGAGAGGCAGAGGAGCACCATTTGTTTCATAAGGCGGAAAGCGGCGGATTTTCTGGCGACACCGACGTAACAGAGAGGGGCTTCGGGTGAGGCCATGGTTAGGGTTTTGTTCTCTGACTCCGGCGACCTCCCAGACACGACCCGCAGCCGTCTCTGTCTTTGTTCCGGAGGTCGAGGAGTAAAGAGAAAAGGAAGCTGCAAAGCGGAGGCTCCAAACCTAAATAGAGGGACTGAGGGGCCGTACCGTGTTGGTGGAACACTACAAGATGCGACGTCGTTTTGGCTCACCAACTTCTTCTTTTTGTGGGTTTTTGGAGCTAGTGCTTGCTTTATCCCATTTTTTGTTTATTCTAAGTTTTGCTTACTTGGATTCTTAATTAGTAAACACGCCGTAATGTGATTGAACTTAGAGCTGGTTAGGTATTGTTGTGCTTTAAAAAAAAACTATTTTTGTTGTACTGTGAGAATAAGCTCATTTTTGCTGCTTCACGTTTTTAACTTTTTTTCACCCAAAATTATGAAAATAAGTTGTTTTTAAGTGTTTACCAAACACCTTTTTTCGCTCAACTTTTTTTTATACCCATTTTTTATAAAAGTATCTCAATACCAAACCAGTACTTAAAATATAAAATATATGTATTTGAGTCAAAATAGTTAGAATTCAATTAGTTTGCAAAAATAAATTGTATCTCAATCGGCTATAAACAACATATTCAAGATTAGATTGATTTTATCCCAAAACATCAACTAAGCCAATCACAATATAACTTTTTGGTTTGATTTAGAATAGACGAAAAAATTTTAAAAAATCGAACCGAATTGAACCAAATCAAATCAAACTAAATTCAACAATTTAGTTTGGATGATTTGAGCCCAAACCTAGTCCTTTTATTTTGGTTTCGTTTTTACGACATTGTTAATCAAATTACAACAAAATAATTTCCTATATATTTTTCTTTTTCTAGTATGTCGAAATATACTAATATTTAATATGTCATCAAACTTCAAGATTTAGTAACTAATAATCTAATATAGTCATAACTCAAGGATCAATAACTCCATAATTTAATAAAGGAAACTTTTTTTTTAAATGTAATATGAATTTATACACATTTTTTTTAATTTGTCAAATGAACTATGAATTTATACACATTTTTTTAATTTGTCAAATGAACTAATATTTTAAGCAATTTTTCATATTAATTTTCATAAATCATTAATTTTTCATCTCACCCTAACGCAATTAAATTTTTCATCCAAAAAAGAAGTTTGTGTTTAAAGTCATTCGGATTTTTTACTTTAGTTTTACAAATTTTTTATTTTTGTACAAAAAATATATGTATTTGGTGGGGAATAAATTGGTTTTGAACTTTTCTCTACTTCTCTTTGGAACAAACTTAAAGATATTTTAACTATTTTTAAGTTTTGAGGGTTCAACCTGGTCAATCATGTCCCTCAATTAAAAATAGAGCTTAAATGTCTGAAATAAACTTAAAATGTCCATAAAAATCTTGAAGGGGATGGAGTGGAAGTTGAAATATCTTAAATAACCTTGAAAACAAGTAATGTGTCTTACGGTGAATGACAAATTAATGATTTCAGAAAATTGATATGACAAATTGCTTAAAATATAAGTTCATATGACATTTTTAAAAAAAAAATCCTACTATAAAACTTAAGGGCCTATTTTTAGCTACATCCCTTATAACTCAAAAGTCGCTACTTTACTCTCTGAAACTCAAAAGTCGTCATTTTACTCACCGAAACTCAAAATTCATTCCACTTTAACTTGTGGACTCTCTCTTCCTCTAAAACTTATAGGTCACATCCTAAAACATATGTAGGACCCAACATTGAATAAGACTATGCCACTTTGCAATAAATTTGATTATAAATCTCTATTATGCATTAACATTCAATAATCAAAGAATATTAAGTTTAAAAGAAATGAAAAAAAAATAAAAAAGAAATTGATTAGTCCGATGCAGCCAAATCAAACCTACATAAGAAATTACCATATCTAAGGCAATGTGGAGCGAATTTTGAGTTTTATAAAGACGACTTTCAAGATTCAAGGCCCAAAATTGGATTAAAATCGAGTTTCATGGGGCAAAGTGGAGCGAACTTTGAGTTTCAAGGAGTCAAATTGTGACTTTTGAGTTACAGAAAACAAGCTGAGATTAAAAAAAAAAACAAGAGTTTCAGGGGGCGTAGTTAAAAATAAGTCAAACTTCAAATTTAACGCTATTATGTTGTTAGCATAAAAAACTACGACTTCATTTGGCAGCTCAGACTATACTGATTTCAATCTGATAGGATATATAGTCATCGACTAATACTGATTAAATTAGTTGGTCGTTTAGTGCAATATCAGACATGACCGTGTTATTTATATTGTGTTTGGTATACAACATTACTCGAATACAGTTGATACAAAATTTCACCAATATAGTGATAAATTTTAGCATAATTCCAAAAATATTATAGTAATTTATGGAAAAATCCAACTTTTAGGATCCTTGTAAAACAAATCCACACACAGCCAACTAAAAAAAATCCTAGAAATTAAATATCTTCAATGGTAATAAGCCAACATTTTATCAAACATCTAGCACAAATCTGAATTGCTATCACCTTCCTCGTCGGAGCCCAACTCCCTTTCGCGTTGTCTTTCTCCTCCTTTTCCTCGCCAGAGCCTAGCTCCCTTCCTCGTTGAACGCTTCCTTGTCGGAGCACCCGTTCCATGCATAAACTAGCTCTTTTTCCATTTGTCCGTCGTCTGTTGATAACATCCAAGATAGCCAAGCCCCCTTCCTCATTGAACGCCCCCTAATTGGAGCCCAGATCCAAATTGTTATCCCCACGTTGTCGGATCCTCCTCTTCATAAGAGCTCAAATTGGAAGAATTTGAATCATCGTCTTCCTCCTTCAACCCATGGAAAGTTTTGTTTCAGAGAACAAAGGAAAATGAAAGAAGTGGGAGGGGTGTGTGTGTAAAGGAGAGAGAAAAAGAAGAAGACAACGAAGACGAACCTGGGATCCAGATGAGAGATAGCAGGCGATGTGAAAGAGTGGAAGGAGAGCGCTGCAAAAGGTAGCGAAAAAGTTCCTCCTCGACTAATAATATGTAAGTTTTGGACAAGATAAATAAGCGGGTGTGAGGAGTATAAAATAAATAGGGTTGGATTAAATTATCCGGTGCTTATTTAAATACAAATCTCACCAAACATCCTTTAGATATTATTAATATTATCCAATGGTCTTATATTGTGACTACCCGTCCCTAATTTTACGATTTATAAATTTTAAAAGCATGAATTGATGAAAATACCCTAGAAGCAAGGATTTTGACTTCTGTTGGCCATTGTTTAGAAAGACGTATAAGTCATTCTTTTGGAGTATTTGCGTAGTAATCATTGCCACGAACGCATAGGCGAAAGCCGTTTGCAAGTCCGGATTATAATGCTATAGTTACAGATGTTTAAAATTGGTTATTTAAAGTTTAGCTATAAATAAATTAAACTCCCATCTTGTGGGAAAGAAACCAATCAGATTTTAAGCAAGAATAAGGGGACCAATCAACTATTTTGTTTAAGTGATCAATTAGATATGTTAGAAGAAGGACCAATCAGCAATGAGAGGGAGGGATCAGCCAATTAAGAAGGAGAGAGAAGAATCTCATCCCTTTCCCTTTCAACCCGTGCACACCTCAAACCCAGTTCCGACCCAGCCAAATCTAGTCCAATCTCCACCATTTTTCAGGCGATTTGCATCCATCCTCCACCTGCAATTTCTTCTGCAATCTCTCCTCTTCCATCTCCACCAAAAATCAAGGGTTTTTAAGGCCTACAGTGAAGAAATACATCGATGCATCGGAGGTGCTTGACGGCGATTCCACCGTTCCAACGAGTTCCACCACCCACCACCACCCTTAACCAACTTCCTTTGGACCCAGGAACAAGACCCAACCAGTGGTAGGGGCGTTGGAACACCGAGGAAGGAGAATCGAAGAACATTCACCTTAGGGTTTCCGGCAGGTTTTAGTAAAATTGGAGCCTTTTCCGGCCAAATTGGACTTGACCACAGGTATAAAACTTGCTCTACTATTGGAGATCTTCATTTCTATAGAATTTGAGAATTTTTGGAGATAGTTGAATTTTTAGGCGAATCGGGACGGCCGACAACCGTGTGGCGGCGCGTGACGACGGCTAACCGATATGTGCGATGACGCGTAAGTCGAGTCACCCCCTAACCTTCCTAAACTAATTTTGACACCCCAATTCCATAGGTGAAGTCCGATTGATGAAATCTCATCGTTTGAACATAGTTTTGTTAAAGACCATTACTTGAACATTATGTGAATTGACCAAAATTTAATACATTATAGTATGTAATATTTGAGGATATTAGAAACTTGAAGATTGAGAATTTGACGTATGGATCTTCCCAAATTGGATTTGTAAGTTTGTAAAATAAAACGTTGACTGCCACTTGAATAAGCAATTGGCGGAGATCCAATCTTTGGATCATAATGAAACTTTAGTATGATATTCTAGAAGTATAATATGGATCTTTAGAAGTTACGAATAAGAAATCCGAGATGCGAATCTTTCGGATTGAGTTACGTAGGGTTGTGGACCTTACCATTGATCTTTAACCAACGGTTAACTTTTGGTCAATGAGTCTCAAATTATTCTAGAACGTCTTTGGGATGTGTTTTATGTAAGTTACATGTTTTATTGATAAGAGTTCTGAGACATGATTGAATATTTGTTCTAGGTGATGATCGTTCGTGCCGTCTTGATATTCATGTTAGGGAGTCGTAGCCCAGATCTCAGGTGAGTGGGTCTTTTCCTTTTTATCGTATATATATAACTAATAGTTCCACAAATGCTTTTAAATTGATTTATGAATTTTATGCCATGTTATATACATATTTATATATTATAAAATACTATGATATGGTTGAGTTTTAGATTGCATCATGGCATAACCATATGCATATTACCTATATATAATCGTTGTGAATGCTTTGAAGTGTTAAGGTGAACGCGGGACGTGCAAGTGAGTTTATGGTGTTATCTGAAATGATTAAGTTATGGCATGACTATATTTGTGTTTTTATGCAACTCCGACATTGTCGTACATGTTGCAATACTAGGTAACTCCGACTCGTGTGTTATCATAGATTGATGAGCACCTGATGTTT